CACATAGGGATGGCCGGTTCGCTCACTGGCTGAGCGTGGTGCTGACAACACCAAGTCAAGGGTTAAGATCCCCTTACCGGTCATCTTTTAAAAAAAAAAAAAGAAATAAACTTTAGCAAGTGAGTGAATTCACAAATACAGAATCTGTATGATTGACTGTATATCCAGAACATTATCATGTCAACATGTAATTGATATAACAAACATCAAAGAGATAGTTTACATTCTCTGTTTCAAACTTGGAACCTATTTTTCACTTACAGCACATTTCAGTGAGGAATAGCCATGTTTCACGTGCTTAAGAGCCACACGTAGCGAGTGGCTTCTGTATCACACATTGCTACTCACTCTAGGTTTCTTCAGATTCTCGAAGGGATCTATGAAGTAAAAATAAAATAAAATAAAAAGCCAATGCCAGGTACCACCCTGGAGAACAGTGTGGCAATACCTAAGAAAGCTACACCTTCTATCTTTCAGCCCAGGAGTTTCACTTCAAGGCTGATGCCCCCAGAGAAAATGTGCCATTTAGCACAAGGCAACATGTATAAGAATATTCTTTGCACCCCTGGTTGTAAGAGCACAATATTGGAGGAACCTAAAACGTCCATCATCAGAAGAATGGACCTATCAGACAGTATGTCCATGCACTACAACATTAAATATCTTTGCAAAGGTAAGAACCTAAGCTACGTGTAACAACAGAGGGAAATTCACAAACATAGTATTAAGCTGCTGGGGACAAAAGCAAAGTACAGAAGGTCACTGACTACTTATACAACATTTAAAAGCATGCAAAGAGATACTCTACAGCAGTTGTGGGTTTATACATATATAGCAAATTTTATTTTTAATCAAAGAATAACAAACACTTCATTGGGAATAGTGGTTACTTCTGGGAGGGAAGGAAAGGATTTGGGGAGGGTAGTACACGAAGAATTCTGACTATATTTGGGAAGTTATATTTCTTTAAAAGGACAGTGGATATGTGGATACTCATTATACTGTTGACGCTCATTCTATTTGGGGGGATGTTTTTGGTGTTGTATACATAAAATATGTCATTGCATGGAGCATCACGGCAAGGTTTTGTGCTATGTGTGAGCTGGTCAGAGATGATAAGAGTTGGCACATGTGGCCCAGCTGTGCTCAGAAAATAACATAGATCGTGAAGATTAAATGAGATGGGTACGTAAAGCCCCAAAGCAGTGTCTGACCCATAGTAACTGCCACAAGAGTATTTGTTAGTAATAAGAACAATAATATTATTAAGCATTCACTCTATACTCAGCGTTATGATTCATGTTTTCATCCATTAATTTATTTGACAGTATTTCAACGTACATATGAACAAAGGGGTGTCAGGTGCAATAGAGAGAAAATAGCATTTCCATACTGTTTCAAAAACAAGAGCAGAGGCAGCTCAGCTTTCCTTGCAAAGATTGGTTGACTGCACTGGGATGATTGTGAAAGGCCCAGATTTTGATTTACTAGTTTGTAATCATTCTTCCTAGACCACTCAAATCAATTTAATGTTATAACTTCTTTCCTTTTCTTTATCTTTTTATTTTTTTCGCCCTGAGGATGCGATGAGAGGGAGGGTGGGTTAAGCTGTCAACTGCACAATTGTTGAAGGGTAAATTAATCTTTTACAGGATCTTTCAGTACATGTTTTATTCGTTGAATTTATAGTTATATTTATGTATTTTATTCATTAAAATATATACTGTATACATAATCTGTATTATACATAAGGCATATACTATAGTATATATAATTTAACATATAATGTGTGGTAGTATATATAATATCTAATATAATTATATTAGATATAATATCATTGTGGTGTATATTATATTATGCATTATAAATAATAAATGTTTCTTTAACAATAATGCTCTGGGTAGAAGCTGTGATTACCTTCATTTCATATAGGGGGAAACTGAGGCACTGAGGCAGTTGGACTCTTATCAGTGTGCACTCGCTTGGCCAAGAGGGGACAAAGCCAGGAGAGGGTCACAGGACAAGCCCTTGGGGGCTAGAAGGCAGGAGGCATAGAAGGAGGGAGGCAGGTGGCCCAGAGGCCAGCTTTAAAGAGGAGCGTGTTTGTGCATGTGCGCACGCCTGTGTGTACCCTATAGCCAGGACTGAAACCTCCCCCGCCCGCCCACACCTGTGTGCCGAGGTCACTCTGGGTGACCCCTCAAAGTGGTGTTGCTAAATGGGGAGGTGCAAAGCTCCCTGGATCATCAGTGAGCCTCTGGGGGGGGCCGGGGAGGCTGGAGGCCTGCAACGTCCCCTCTCACTCTCTTCCCAGGGGACCCAGGTGGCTGGCTCTCTAGCCTGACCTTTCAGCTCTAGAGTAGCAGCTGCTTCTGCATTCGCTAAAGCCTCCTGCACATGCACAGCCAACGCCAGTCCCCAGTGGAGAGACTCAGCTCGAATCAGTCACCTGAGGTCTGTCTCACAGAAGCTGCTGGGCTGGAGACAAAGAGCAGCCTGAAGTCCCCAGACCCTCATGGAGTCCTGACTCTGCCTCTCACTGGCCGTGTCTCTATGGCCAATGGCTCTGCTTCTTCATGCCTCAGTTTCCCCATTGATAAATTGGAAACCATCATTCTACTCACCCAAGGCTTATTGGGAGGACTCCACAAAGCTTTGGGTGAATAAATTAAGAAAGGGAGAGAGAGAGAGAACCTAGGGCCTAGCACCCAGTAAGCATCCGGTAAATAGTCATCACTGCATTATTTATTTCATTATAAACCTTTCAATTAGTAACACATGCTCTTGGGAAAAATCCAAATAATACAAAAGGCACACTGATAAGAAGTTTCCTGAAATCCATGTACAGATAATGATTCCTGACCCAACTAATGCAAATAAAGGACTGTTTTGAAAAAACTGGGAGAAATTGGATACAAACTAGTTCTTAGCTAATTTTAAGGAATTATTGTTAACTGGAAATTTTCCTTTCTTTTATAGGGATGGACACCTGAGTGTTTGGGCACAATGTATCATGATGCCTGTAGTTGACTTTATGACTTTTAGCTTTTTATGAGGGAAAATTTTAAGCATAACCAAAAATAGCAAGAGAAGGAAAACAAATCCCTCGTTCCTGATTAGCAACACCGTCTCTCCGTTCCCTGCCCCCCCCCCCCTCCAACCCCTACACACGTACTTCTATTTTCTTTCACTGGAGTATTTTAAAGCAAACACCAGGCAGCATATCATCTCCACGCAAAAAAAGATTTCAATATGTTATTTATTTTAAAATAATCTGTGCCCCCACGGAAAAAAGATCAAGCGAATATGACACCATTTTTGAGGTCTAGTCCATGGGCAGAAGGGTGTTCATGACAGCGTTCTTTCTACTTTTCTGTGAAATTACAACTTTTCCCAATCAAACCTTAGAAAAGTCAAAGAGTAAAGGAAGTTCTACCACCTCTCTGCCCGGACTCCAGACCCACCCAGCTCCCCAGGGACAACCACCACAGCCAGTTTCCTGTGGATCCTTCCAGAGCCTCTGAGTAAGTGTTGCTGCTGTGTTTTTATTAATAGCAAGGTTGTAGTAGTAGTGGAAACTCGAGTGGAGCAGGCATCAGGGCTGTGAGTCACACAGACCTGGCCCAGGTCCCACTCCCCTTCTAACCTCGTGTTAGGTAATCCACCCCTCGGAACCTCAGTTTCCTGCTCTGTAAACTGGGGATAAATCCTGAACCTTTGGGCAGCTGCTGGAAGGATTCAATGTAAAGTCCCCCTGCACAGAGTCAGGCTCAGGACAGGTGTTGAGGACTGGAGAATACCTCTTTCCCCAGGGCCTCTCCCAGCTATTTGAGCTTGTGAGTCTTGGGGGAGAAGGGGCTGGGGGCCTGGTCTCCTGGGTCTGAAAGAGGAGGATGTGGGTGCAGGAGTCTTGATCTGAGGGAGTGGAGGGCTGGGGTTCTGGGTCTTGGGGAGGGGGAGCTGGGGCCAAAATTCTTGGTATTAAGCAACTAGGCTTTGGGAACAGTCCCCCAGGTTTTGGACACCAGCCCTCCCAGCACCTGGATGGAGGCAGAAGGCACTGAGCTCTGGGTCTGTCATCCCAGCTAAGGTGAGTGGAAGGGTCTGTCCCACCTTTTTCCTATTACTCAGGCCTGGCCCTTGGGGGTTCACAATATGTTTTGTCCCCTCTGTCCTGGGACCAGAGCCCAGAGTCCAAGCTGGTCTAAGTTTGGAAGGGGGAGGGAGGGGGGATAGCTCAGAAGGGGTGAGGGAGGGGTGTGGGGGGACAGGATGTTTCTGTGTCTGAGCTGTCACACACACCCCTGTCCCGGGGCCCAGAGAAAGGGAGGGACAAAAGGCTCTAAGAGAGAGTTGGGAACAAAGAAAGGAGCAGAGAGAGACGCAGAGACACTGGGGAGAGGAGCAGAGTCACCCAGACAGAGCCAGAGAGAGAGGAGGAAACAGGCAGAAAGACGGGGAAGGCAGAAAACATAGTGTGGGTAGTGTGGGGGTACCCCAATAGACTCAGTGGCCAGACAGTGGGAAGAGTGCGGGGACAAGGGAGAGGGGCCACCAACAGAGATAGGACAGGAAGAGCGACAGCTACGCCAGAGACACAGGGTGAGATAGAGGCAGCAACAGGGTGGGTGGTGGAGAGAGAGAGACAGAGAGACAGAGAGATATTCATATAGAAGGAAAGACTGAGAGGTTAAAGGCAGGGGAGAGAGGGTGTGAGGAAGGAAAATAAATAAACAGGGAAATACAGAGAGGGACACATACCCAGAGGGTGACAGAAAGAGGTGGAGAAGGTCAGAGAAATCTTTTGAGTGAGGCAGATTCAGACAGACACAGAGTGAGACTGAGGCTGACCCTTTCAGACGAGCTCCCAGACTTTGGCTCTTCGTGGCAAGGACCTGTTGGGGCAGGGGGGTGGGGGTGGGTAGGGAACTGGTTGCTTTTGGGGGAGCTCAGACAAGGGGTGCCTTCCCAAGGGCCAGCCAACACCAGGTGACCCTGAGATGGAGCTAAGGGCCTCCAAGATCCCCGAGGATGGAGACCCAGAGGTGAGAGACGGGAGACAAGGAAGGAAGAGAGACCGAGAGGAGCAGAGAAGTGACACAGAGAGACAGAGGGAGAGAAACAGAAAAAAGGGAAACAGAGAGACCCCCAGAGACCCAGACATAGGGAGAGAGAATAATGCAGACATGAAAGAGACACAGCAAGACTGAGGACCCCAGAGAAATGGACTCAGAAACAAGAACTGGACACACAGGAGAGAGGATAGAGGAGACAGAGACGGGAAGGGGGTGTGGACTGAGGATGCAGCCCCAGTTGGGGCTGGGGCTTCTGGCCCACTCTCACGATGGGTGCAGGTGGGGCCCCTGAGACAATGACCCCAACCCTGCCAGGACACAAAAACAGGTGGCCCAAGACTAGTTTAGTCATTGTGACTCATCCTTCTCTCTGGGGACAGTGACCCTTGTCATGTCTTCCCACACGCACACATCTGCCCCTGGGCTGGGTCTCCAACCTCCCCCCCCTGCTGCTCTCAGTAGACCCCAGACTCACCACCTCCTCATCCCTCCCCCTCTCCTGCAGGAGGACACAGCCACGGCCCTCCAACGGCTGGTGGAGCTGACAGCCACCAGGGTTACACCATTGAGGAGTCTGCGCACCCAGTATCGCCTCATCCGTAAGCTGGGCTCTGGCTCCTACGGCCGTGTGCTCCTTGCCCAGCCTCGCCGAGGGGGTGAGTGCACCCACCCAAGGGTAGACTCCCAAACTTCTCTATAACATGGGTTCTGAGAAGCCACCCAGACAGGGAGGTGATGGGGACCCTTCTTGATGGGGACTCTCAGAAAGTTGAGTTCTGTGATCTTCTAAGAAACAGAGGTCACCCAGGGATAGTGAGTGGCTTGCCTCAGATCCCACAGCAAGGCAGGAGTGCAACTTGGATTGGAACCCAAGTCACCACCATGTCCCCTACCTTATGCGAGGAAACTGAGGCCCAGAGAGGGTCAGGCAGTTGTGCAAGGCCTCAGCAGACTGACGCAGAGCAGGAGGGGTCCTCGGGGAAGCTCTGCTCCAACCTACACTTCACAGATGGAGAAACTTATTTTGCCCATGAGAAGTCGAGGCTCAGAGAGGTTAAGCAGCTTGTGTAAGGTCCCAAAGCAAGACCAGAGCCCCCTGAGTTTCACTCTGACCCCATCTCCCTGGCAGGTCCAGCTGTGGCTCTGAAGCTCCTACGTCGAGACTCAGTCCTGAAAACCACCTTCCTGAGAGAGTTCTGTGTGGGCCGCTGCGTCTCCTCACATCCAGGCCTGCTGCAGACTCTGGCAGGACCCCTGCAAACCCCCCGACATTTTGTCTTCGCCCAGGAATATGCGCCCTGTGGGGATCTCAGCGGGATGCTTCAGGAAAGGGTGAGGCAGGCAGGAGACAAAAGTTAGGACTGCTTATTACAGATCTAACTCTGTCCCAAACCTCATTTCTTCTTCTTCTTTTTTTTTTTTTTTTAAAGATGACCAGTAAGGGGATCTTAACCCTTGACTTGGTGTTGTCAGCACCACACTCTCCCAAGTGAGCTAACCGGCCATCCCTATATAGGGATCCGAACCCATGGCCCTGGTGTTATCAGCACCGCACTCTCCCAAGTGAGCCACGGGCCAGCCCCTCCAAACCTTATTTCTATCTCCAACCCTGACCCCCAAATCAATACCCAGCCCAGCTCTGCCCTGAGCCCCTGAATGACCTCCCGTTTCTAATTCTCAATGCAGTTCCATGCCTGACCCCAACCAACCCTATTCCATTCAATTATCTAAACAAGCTCGGATGGGCAGACTGCTGGTACTGGGGTTGAGGATGGACTGAGGATGATGAGGGGGGTGAGGATAGACACAGAGTTGGGACTTTAGTTGGCATTGGGATTAGGGGTGTGGGCATAGATGGAGTTTGGTGGGTTGAGTTAGGTTGGTAGTGCACATGGAGAAAAGCATGGGTGGGGTTGCAGAGGGAGTTGAGGATGGTTGAGGATGTGTATACCTACTGAGTTGGAGATGGGCCGTCATGGGGTTTCCTCTAGAAAGGTGACCAGGTCAGGACTGAATCCATGAGATTCTAGAGCCTCTTCAGTTTGAAGATTAAAAGTGGAGATATTTTTAGGAATAGACTTTGGGTTTGAGATGGGATTGGAGATAAATGGAAGGAAGGGGAAGGAAAGAAGGAAGGAAGGACGGAGGATGGATGGAGGGATAGATGAATGGATAGAAGGAAAGATGGGTGGATGGATTGCATGGATGAGTGGAAGTATGGAATTATGAGCGGATGGATGGGTGGATGGAAGGATGGTGTGTGGATTGCATGGATGAGTGGAAGTATGGAAGTATGAGTGGATGGATGGGTGGGTGGAAGGATGGGTGGGTGGAATGCATGGATGAGTGGAAGTATGGAAGTATGAGCGGATGGATGGGTGGATGGAAGGATGAGCGGGTGGATTGCATGGATGAGTGGAAGTATGGAAGTATGAGCGGATGGATGGGTGGGTGGAAGGATGGGTGGGTGGATTGCATGGACGAGTGGAAGTATGGAAGTATGAGCAGACGGATGGGTGGGTGCATGATGAAAAGAAGCAAGGAAGGATAAACAAATGGATGTTGGATATTAAGTAATTGAATAAATTATTGGATTGCTGACCGGCTGGTGGAATGGATGTTGGGTGGATACATTGTTGAATACTATTTGTTGGAAGACTAGTTTCACAGATGGATTGCTGGCTGGCCAGCTAGCTAGCTGAATGGGTACATTAATCAATTGTTTGATGAAGTAAACTGGGCATGTTAGAGCAGGGTCTGGGTTAGAGATGAAATCTAAACTAGTACTGGACTAAGATTGGAGTTAAGTATGAGTTCTCACCGGAGAGAATCTTGGTGGTCAGTTCAGAGGAAATGTATAAGAAATGTTCTGAGTGGGTTTGAGCGTTAGGGTTAGGAGAATCTTTGAAGGAAGCTAAAAGAAAGAGCTTCTGGTTAGAATTGCAGTTCCAGTGGGAAAAAACATTTGGGATTTGGTCTAGGGGAGTAAGATATGGGTGCCAGTTGTGGCTGAGGATGACCTGGAGAAGGTCTTTGGGAGGGTGTTACATGAACACTGAAGGTAGCTGCTGGCCTGGTGTTCTAGATTCTCGAACCCCAAGAATCAGAACCTTTAGGGATTAGGAGTCTAGAGCCTTTCGGGGTGATTAAGAGATAACTGAGACATCCTGACCTTCTTCTCTTTCCTTGACCTCAGGGCCTCCCGGAGCTACTGGTGAAGCGGGTGGTGGCCCAACTGGCTGGAGCCCTGGACTTCCTCCACAGCCGGGGACTAGTTCATGCAGATGTCAAGCCAGACAATGTGCTGGTCTTCGACCCTGTCTGCAGCCATGTGGCCCTAGGTGACCTGGGTCTGACCAGGCCAGAGGGCAGCCCAACCCCTACCCCACCAGTGCCACTGCCCACAGCGCCACCAGAACTCTGCCTCCTGCTGCCGCCCAACACCCTGCCCCTGCGGCCAGCCATGGATTCCTGGGGCCTAGGGGTGCTTCTCTTCTGCGCTGCCACCGCCTGTTTCCCTTGGGATGTGGCACTGGCCTCTGACCCTGAATTTGAAGCCTTTGCCGGCTGGATAACCACCAAGCCCCAGCCATCTCGGCCACCACCACCCTGGGACCAGTTTGCATCCCCAGCTCTGGCCTTGCTCCAGGGGCTTCTGGACCTGGATCCTGAGACTAGGAGCCCCCCACTGGCTGTCCTGGACTTCCTGGGGGATGACTGGGGGTTGGAAGAGAACAGAGAGGGACTTGGGGGCTTGGGGAGTGTGTCCTATGAGGATGAGGAGGAGGGGGAAGAGGGAGGATCGAGCTTGGAGGAGTGGACAGATGAGGAGGAGGATGACAAAGGTGGCGGGAGGATGGGGACAGATGGGGGAACTCCCTGACCAGGTGACTGAGACAGGTGGCCAGAGCCTGGGCCAAAGGCCCCTCCCCGAGTCCCCATGGCCACCTGGATGGGGAGACAGCTGCTCCCAGGAGGACAGAGAGGACACACACTGCACCTCTCCCTGCTGAAGGCTGGACTTCCTCCCAGCTGAGAACTCAGGAGTCCAGGCCCCCAGCCCCTCCTTCCTCAAGCTCAGGAGTCCTATCCTCCATCAAGGACCCTTCCTCTTCCCTCTGTCCTAAGTGTGTCTTCTTGAAGGAAGGCATTGTTCCACCTATAGAGAGTTTCTGTACTGTGGGGACATGTTGAATGTTTATCTTGGAGTTCCAATGGGATTACTCCTCTCTTCTAAGACCTAGGGTAGCTCTCACTGTCCATGGCACAAAATCTAACTTGCAGGATCCGACACTATGTAAATCTCACCCTTCACCTCTCCCATCTCTCTGGGCTCTGGGTGACATTATAGGAGTCAGTCATCCACTCTAGACCTAAATCTACACATGCACGTGCGCACACACGCACACACACACACAGACACACACACACACTTTGCTGATGGCAGATTTTTTGCATAACTTGTGGCCTCCACCAAGAGCACATTCCCCTCAGCCCTGTCACTCCAGAAAGTGGCCCCAACCCCCAGCTCTGTCTGACCTTTTCAAGAGCTTGTATCAGAGCGATCTACGTTTCTATCTTTTTCGGGATGAACCTAGTCTCTTTCATTTCTAGATCTTTCCAGGCTCTTTTCCCACAAAGCACAGAAAACCATGGTCTGTGATTATCCAAGCTCCATCTCGTCTGTTTTCCTCAGACCTGTCACTCCTAAGAGCTAGGACGAGTTCTAATGGATCTCATTATTCACCCGGGCTGGCCTGGGTGTCCTATTGTCCCATGCCACTTCCCTTAGAGCACATGGACCCCCCACTTGTGATGGTTCATGTCTGCAGGACGGTGGCCAAGTGGACCTGATTCTGTGTCCCCAGCCCCCAGTGGAGGGTCAGGAACTGCACTGTTTCCCCCACAGGAATTTATGCTTTCTGGATTTAAAGGTGAGCTAACTAAATTCAACATAGTATCCTGGACTGGATCCTGGGACAGAAAAAGGATATTAGTGGAAGTGCTGGTGAAATAGGAACGGTCTGGTGTTTGGCTACTTGTTAACAACTTAGTTTTGACCAACGTACGGTCAGGTGTGCAAGATGCTAACTGTGGGGGAAGACGGATGAGGGATACACAGGAACTCCCTAAACGATTTTTACAACTGTTCTGTAAATCTAAAATTATTCCAAAATAAAATTTTTATTTCAATTAATAAAGTGAGTTCACATCGGTCATGATGCTATAAACCTATGGGGTAGGTGCAGCTGTCCCAGAAAAAGGAGGGAACCCACACAAAGTTCCACCGCAGGCCAGGGGCTGGGGGACTTTAGGGAGTGACTTAATCCCCCTGTGCATATAGCAGAGAAGTGCTGGGTGGTCCTTATTCCTACAGTACTTGTTCATATTATTTCTATTGTTATTCTTCTCTCTGTATTCAGGAGGACCCCCAGCCTCCCTTAGACCCAGGAGTCCAGGATCCCAGCCCCTCCCCCTCCTTTAGACCCAGGAGTCTGGTCCCTTGTAGAAGATGAAACCATTTATCTAACCCTCCCCTGCCTTGACCCAACCCAGCTGCCCCCATCAATGTTCCATTGACAGGTCAGACACAAGTGTTAGGAAAGGGGTGTCCAGGGGACCAGATACTGGGGTCCTGTTTGGGGAAAGGATGAGACAATGAGATTCCAGAATGATGCAGTGAGAGATGACCTCAGACTTGGGGGGGGAAGGAGGGAAGCAGGTGGTGCAGCAACTGGAAAGAGAGGGACCCTGTGGGGGAGGGGAGGTCTATATTCAGTGCCTGCAAACTTCAAATGGCCTGGACTCCTGAGTCAGCGGGAAGAGGGCTGAGCTCCTGGGTCCAGGGCATTTGTGTAACCACAGACAGTTCTAGGAGTCAACGCACGATGTCGCTCTGCTCACAGTCGGGGCAGAAGGTGCAGCGCTGGGGCGGGGCCGGGGGCGGGACTTACGACCCCCAAGGTGGGGGCGGGGTCTTGCTCCTGGGCAGGCTCCTGCTGGCATGGGCTCTAAGTGCCGGGCACTGACCACAGCAGGCAGCCGAAGAGTCGGGCAAGCCTTGGAGAAGGTGAGGTTGGAGGTCTGAGCCCTGGTTAGGTGGAGGGCAAGGTTAAATGGCCTGAGGTGGGTAGCACCTAAGAGTATAGACAGTCAGGTGGCCAGAGTCCTGGCGTCCCTCAGAGAAGCACAGGTTGCACCTGAGGCCGTAGAGTGGTTGAATGTCAGGGGAACAAAACGCAGGGTCCCTAGTTGTGTGAGGTTCCTACTTGTTTGAGGTTCCAGGAGAAGGGTGAGCTGGGGGTCTGGACCCCTGAAGGAGGAGGGCTGGGGTCTGGACTCCTGGGTCTGACGGAGGCGGGCTGGGCTGTGAGAGTTGTACCGCAGGCCTGGGACTGATCCCAAGTGCTTGTTCCCATGGAGGACCCATGCGTCCCAGGCCCTCTTTGCAAAGCCCCACCCTCCCAGCCCTTGGGGGCAGAGAGCACCTGTTTGCTCTTAGGAGACAGAAGCTACTCATCCAACCCCAGGGCCCAAGTCTGTTTGCTTTGGAAACAAGATGGGGGTGTCTCCCTTATATGGTTCATCTTTCACCCTTAGTCCATTGGGTGGCACAGAGATGTGGGGGCAGGGGACATCTGTGACCTCTTGCTTCGCCTCACCTCACACCAGCAACTGGGCTCCCCCTCCTCAGAGACCTTTCACTAGGAGGAAGACTGAGTCACAATGGGAAGTGGCAACGAGCCCCCAGCCCCTCCTCACATTCTCAGGAGTCCACCCCCAGCTCCTCCTCCTTCAGACCCGGGAGTCCAGGTCCCCAGCCATCCACCCTTGGGCACCAGACCTCTTGAGATCTGAGCCCTGGGCCACCCTCTGTGCCTGTCCTTGCAGAGATGCCTGGTAAGCAGTCAGATGAGGAGCCTGTGGAGGTGGGGGCTGCAGAGGACGGAAGTGAGGAAGGCCTAGGGGGCCTCACCGCGGAGGAGCTTCAGCAGGGCCAGGAGGCCGCCCTGGCGCTGGAGGACATGATGACACTGAGCGCCCAGACCCTGGTCCGAGCTGAGGTGGATGAGCTCTACCAGGAAGTGCGTCCCCTGGGCCAGGGCCGCTTTGGCCGTGTCCTGCTGGTCACCCACCGTCAGAAAGGTAGCAGGGCCTGGGGTCGTGGGGTACAGCTGGGGCCTGGGGATGGACCCAGGGGGAAGCTAGTCAAAGCTGGGAATCTGGTAAACCTGAATCAAGTCTTACCTCTGCCCCTTCCAAGCTGTGTGTTTTGGGGGAACTCCTTTAACCTTCCTGAGCCTCCGCTTCCTCCTTTGAAAATGTGAGTAACAATTCCTGCTTGAAAGAACTGCTGATTCTCTGAGCATATATCGATTGTTCTACTTGTTGGGAACAATGGTGGGTAAAACAGTGTCCCCACCCTCGTGGGCCCCACATGTGACTGGTTTAGTGGTCACTGTGGGATAATTCAGAATGCTGCTGTCTGCCAAGTACTTAGCAAAACCAACACAGTGGGTATGCAGGACAAGCTCCCCCCGTCCTCTGGCACCTTTCTGCCAGACATATACGTGGCTTCTGTCCCATGAAACAGGGATACTATGGATAAAACTTGGAGTCAATCTCAGTTCAAGACACACCTTCTGAGGTGACCCAGGGGCTCAACCCTGTGCTGGGTGGTTCTGGAGACCCAGAGATGAATCCGAGCCAGTCCCTGCCTTCAAGGAGAAAAAATGGGAAGAGAAAGTGTGTACTGATTTGCTAGGGCTGCCATAACAAAGTACCACAGACCGGGTGGCTTCAACCACAGAAATATATTTCCTCATAGTTCCGGAGGCTGGAACTCTGAGGGTAAGGTGTCGCAGGGTTGGTTTCTTCCTTTGGTTTGTACATGGCCATCTTCTCTTTGTGTCTTTACATGGTCTTCCCTCTGTGCGCATCTGTGTCCTAATCTCTTTTTAAAAGGACACCAGTCAATTGGTTAGGGCCCACTCTAAGTGGCCCCTAATGAGTGACCCCACTCATTTTACCTCTTTAAAGACCCTATCTCCAAATATGATCACATTCTGCAGCACTGGGGGTTAGGACTCCAACATATGAATTTGGGCGGGGGACACAACTCAGCCCATAACAGAGAGATGCAAACAGAAAGAGAGATCCAGACCTGGGTCCTTGTAGAACATGGAGACATGACCAATAATGGGGGAACAGAGGCATTATAAATGGGGCCTCATCCACTTGGGTTTCACTGAATGTACATTTTAAGGCCTTCTGAATGCCTGTCCCTGAGCTGGGGGTGCAGGAAAATGTAACAGTCTTTGAGGAGCTCGTGGTACAGTGGGGAGCACAGATGTGCAGAGATCATTAAAAGAGAGGGTAGTGTGTGCTGTTAGGGCGATAATCTAAGACAATGTAGACACTTACAAAAGGCACTGCCAGGCCGAGCTTGTGGCGCACTTGGGAGAGTGCAGCACTGGGAGCGCAGCAGCGCTCCTGCGGCGGGTTCAGATCCTATATAGGGATGACCGGTGTGCTCACAGCGCTCACTCGCTGAGCGCGGTGTGCCCGGTCTCAAAAAGGACAAAAAGAAAGAAAGGGAAAAAAAAGGCACTGCCGCATTCAGCTGGAGAGTGGAAGGGGAACATTGGCATTTTAGGTAAAGAGGTGACCTTCCTCAGTCACACACAGCCTCATGATGGGCAGAGTTGGGCTCTGGAAGCTGATGACTAAAAAACCGAAGAAACCAGCTGTTGCTGTCTTTGGGGAGTTTACATTCTAAGAAGTCATTTCCACACATGGCAAAATTCGTAATTCCTTAATCAGATCTATTACCCAGTGCAGGTTATCTTTTCCCCAACTGCCTCAAACATGCCTTTTTGCCTCACGTGTGGATGTACTTTCATCAGGAGCCAAATGAGGTCACTGGAGGTTTTGAGCTCAGTTTTTATGGTATTCCCTCCATCTACTCTAAGACAGCCGACTTGTGAGAAAGCAGAGTAGAAACTCACTAAGCACTATTATTAGTAGAACCACTAGTAAGGCTGTTCAGGTGGGCTTGGTAGGGAAACAGGAACTGGGGGAGGTGGAGATAGTATATGGGGAGGAGAGTCCAGGCTGAGAGGCCAGCAAGGGTACCCACAGGGGAGCTGGCAGCCGGCCCAGGTGACCCCTGGCTCTTGCACACCTCCCACATCTGTCTCTGCTGCCCCTAGGCACGCCCTTGGCACTGAAGCAGCTCCCGAAGCCCTCCACTTCCCTCCGTGGCTTCCTGTATGAGTTTTGTGTGGGCCTCTCGCTGGGTACCCATTCTGCCATCGTAGTGGCTTACGGCATTGGCATTGAGTCAGCCAACTCCTACAGCTTCCTGACAGAGCCCATTCTGCATGGAGACCTCATCACCTTCATCCAGCCCAAGGTGGGTAGGTGGACCCTGAGCATGCCTCCAAGAGCCTCACAGAAATGCCCCAAACAACTTGGACCTCAGGAATCACATTCACTGCATTAGGCCTCACTGGACCTTGCCTAGTCCCCCAGATGCCCCTCTTTGGGTCCATAGGACTTGTGGAATTGCTAAACCTGTTTGGAGTTCATTGACATCCCAGAACTAACACTATACCCTGCTGAGATTCACCAGGCCTCAATGGGTGATGCTAGGCTTTACCACGCTGACAGGCCTCCTGGGTCACACAAGACCTCACAGGGGCTCGCAGGCCCCACGGGGCCACATTGGGCTTCACAGAGACTCACAGGCCTCACGGAGTCACAGCTGGCCTCACAAGGACTCACATTAGGCCTCACTGGAGCCAACCCATTTTAAGTCCTTACTAGCCTCCTTAATTCTCCCTGAGCCTGCTTCCTCAGGCTGAGGAGAAGATCTATCATCTCGGTGCCCTTCCAGCCCGCAGCCAGGGAGGGAAGTGGACTGTGACCCCCTCTCCCCTGCAGGTGGGCCTCCCACAGCCCGCAGCCCAGCGCTGCGCGGCCCAGCTGGCCTCGGCCCTGGAGCACATTCACTCCCATGGCCTGGTCTACCGGGACCTCAAGCCGGAGAACGTGCTGGTGTGTGATCCGGCCTGCCAGCGCGTCAAGCTGACCGACTTTGGCCACACACGGCCCCGAGGGACCCTGCTCCGCCTGGCTGGGCCGCCCATCCCCTACACAGCCCCTGAGCTCTGTGTCCCCCCACCCCTCCCCGAGGGCCTTCCCATCCAACCTGCCCTGGACGCTTGGGCTTTGGGGGTCCTGATCTTCTGCCTTCTCACTGGCTACTTCCCCTGGGACCAGCCCCTAGTGGAGGCTGACCCCTTCTATGAGGACTTCCTCATCTGGAAGGCCTCGGGCCAGCCCCAGGACCGTCCTCAGCCCTGGTTTGGCCTGGCGCCCACGGCAGATGCTCTCCTGTGGGGGTTGCTGGACCCTCACCCCCGAAAGAGGAGCCCTGTGAGCTCTGTCAGGGGCTTCTTGGGGCAACCCTGGAAGCAGCAGGATGGGGAGGCTGAAGGGGTGAGAAAGGCGGAAGAGAAGGGCGGACAGTGAGAAGGGCCTGGGGAGGCTCAGAAGAAAAAATGGATCCCACAGGCTGAGACCTCCTCGGCCTGCATTTACTGGCTTTTAATTTCTCCTCTGTCTGTTTTCCTCTCCGTCTCTTGTGATCTTCCCTTCTACGTCCTCCTCTCTCTCCCGTCTGCCGTCTGCATCCTTCCCTTGGTCTGCAGGGGTCTCTGAGACCTTGTGTCTCCGTATCTGTATCACCTTCCCCAGGGCCTGTGCATTTGCGGTCCCTTCGCCTGAGATGCTCTGGGCTCACTCCCTTACCTCCTGCATATGGTCAATGTTTCTGTCTCACCTCCTCAGTGAGGCCCTCCGTCACCCCCCGGTGTAATACTTCAACCTGCCCCCGCCACTCCATTCCTACCCCACACTCTACTGTGTCCCTTTGATCTGTGATGCGCATCCCCTCCTAACTGTGATTTATTTCTCGTGCTTGTATTGTGAGCTCCTAGAGGGCAGGGGTCTTCGTCCCTCCTGTTCCCTGATGGGCCCCACATACTGGAGTGATGCCTGGCCTGTGGCAGGTGATCAGAAAATGGTTGTGAAATACACGAAACCATGTGGTTTGCCACCACCTCCTGTCCGTGTGCCTCTTGGACTCTTTGTCCCTTTCCTCCTGCCCTTGTCTTTCTCTTCTTGTCTCTTGCTGGCTTTCGCTCCTGCCTGCCTCTCTCTGCCCTTTTCCTTCCACCCCTGTGCTGGGGCGTTGCCCTCTTTGTGACGTGCTTTACCTTCTCTCACCCCAGCTGCTCTCTGCGAATAAAGTCCATCTGGCACTTAGATGCTGGTGATACTGTGAGTCTGTCAGCTTGGGAGGGAGGACAGTGTGCATGTACATGAGTGTGCATTGAAGAGCGTGCTGTGCAGGAGAGAGGAAGAGAGAGGGAGGGAGAGATGGAGAGAGAGATGCAAAGGAAGAGAGAGACGCACAAAGAGAGATACAGAAGAAGAGAGAGACAAAGAAGGAGGGGAGAAAGAGATACAGAGGGAGAAAGAGAAAAGGAGAGAGAGAGAGAGAATGAGGGTTTGAATGCACCTCCTGTACATGTGGCCTCTGTATCCATGGGAGAGATACAGAGGGAAAAAGAGAAAAGGAGAGAGAGAGAGAATGAGGGTTTGAATGCACCTCCTGTACATGTGGCCTCTGTATCCATGGGTTCTGTATCCTCAGATTCGACCAATCACGGATCAAAAATATTTGGGGGGGGAAAAAAGGATGGTTGGATCTGCACCGAACATGTACAAACTTTTTTTCTTGTCATTATTCCCTAAACAATACAGTATAATCACAGTTTACATGGCATTTATGTTGTATTGGGAATTATAAGTAATCTAGAGGTGATTTAAAGTATATGGGAGGATTGCATAGCTTATATGCAAATACTATACCATTTTATATCAGGGACTTGAGCATCCACAGATTCTCGTATCTGTAGAAGGGTCCCAGAACCAGTCTCCTGAAGATACCAAGGGATGACTGATATGTGGATGATAATATGATTTTGTGTGTCTATGAGTACTTGAGCCTGTGTGTGCCTACGTAATTTTGTGTATGTGTATATATGAAGGTACTTTTAAAAGTTCGTGGAAAAATGGAATTAGAAGATAATACGACTCTTCAACTTTTTGAAGTACCTTCATATGTGAGATAAAATGAAAGTTTAAATGTCTCTCACTGTACATAGATGATAATATGATTTCGTGTGTGTATTAGTCCACTTTCTGTTGCTTACAACAGTATATCTGAAACTGGGAAATTTATAAGGAAATGAAATTTATTTCTTATAGTTGTGGAGGCTAGGAAGTCCAAGGTCAAGGGGTTGTGTCTGGTGAGGGACTTCTTCCTAGTTAGGACTCTCTGCAGAGTCCCAAGGTGACACAAGGCATCACATAGCAAGAGGGCAGGAGCATGCTCACGTGCTAGCTCAGGTCTCCTGTCTTCTTATAAAGCCACCAGTTCCATTCCCATGATAACCCATTAATCCATTAATCCATTCATGAAGACATAGGCTTCATGATCCAATCACCTCTTAAAGCCCCCCCACTCCCGCTGCCTACTGCCACACTGAGGATTAAGTTTCAACATGAGCTTGAAGGAGACAAACATTTAAACCATAGCAGTGTGTTCACGAGCATTTGAGCCTGCATACGCCTACAAAATTGTTTTTGTATGTGAGAAAGAGAGAGAATGAGGGTTTGAATGCATCTCATTTTGTGTGTGAACATCAGATCTGTGTTTGTGTTTATGAGACCTTGAGTCTGTGTGTGTGAATGTGCATGTGTGTGCTGTGTATGTGTAACCAGGGTAAGAAAGGTCATGCAGGCACCACAGCCAGTCACCACCTGGGCCCTCCCTCCTTCACACCTTCCCCCTCTCATCCTGGCCCCTTCTTGGCAGCCGCCCTGTTTGAAAACACTCTGTCTTCCTCTCTGTGCCCTCCTTGGCTGCGGGCCCAGAGCAAGGCTACAACTCAGGGCTGGATCATGTGTCAGGCTCTCTCTCCCTGGCCCCTGCACACGCACCCAGTGCCCCTGCTGTGGCCACAGAGGTGTTGCTTGGCGGGGGCCGGGATACAGCATGTGTGCCCGAATAGAATGACCCCAAGGACCCTTTGAATCTAGATTCGGCCAGAGAATTAGGGACATAAGTCCCCATCCTGGGCAATCTGGGTGAGCTTCCTGGAGTAGAGGGTCATTGGAGAGAATAAGATGGGGGGAGTTTACAATGGGGCAGGGCGAAGCATGTATCAAGACCTCCTCCCACCTTATCTGTGAATCTGAAATAGCCTGAGTAATTAGGCCAAGAATGTGTCCCAAGAAAGCTGGAGGTGGCTGAGATGAGGGTGGCGCTGACTGAGAGAAGAGAGAAGACAGGAAGGGGGTAGGGGGAGGTTGCACAGGGTGCTAATTGGTGGTGGCAGCTGAGGATTAACCAGGAGGTGATAATGATCCAGAAGGGGGCTGAGTAGCAGGCGAGGAGGACACGAAATTCCCAGGAAGGGCCCGAAGAGGGTGGGAGCAACACTAAGTAATGCTTAGTGCTAATAGTATTCTTAGCACTAATTAGGTAGTTCACAGGATGCATCTGCTCATGGACCTGACTACACTAAAGCAGTCCCTTGGATTCTATCCATTTCACGGATGTGGTGGCTCAGAGCAGCTAAGGGTCTGCCCCAACTCATACAGCAGGTCAGTGGCAGAGCCAGGATTTGAACCCAGGTTGCTCCTGTGCAACATCCCTGCTGTTAAACTGAAGGGGTGCCCTGCCATCATCAGCGGGGGAAGGGGCTTGGGGGGGTTGGGGGTGTGAGTGAGTGTGAGTGTGAGAAAGTGAGTGTGAAAGAGGAGAGTGTGAGAGTGACAGAGTGTGAAAGTGTGAGAGTGACTTTGAGCGAGTGTCTGAATGAGAGCTGTGTGTGCACGTGAGTGTGAGAAGCTGAATGTGAGTGTGTGTGTGAGTGTGAGATTAGTGTATGCGTGTGAGGCTGTGTGTGTCAGAGCATGCACGTGTGTGAGAGTGCGTGTGAGGGTGACAGAGTCAGTGTGAGTGTGTGTGAGGGTGAGTGTGAGGGAGTGTGTGTGTGGATACAGGCGAGGATAGAAGTGGGAGAGTGTCTGAGGGACGAAGGGCAGTGTGACTGCGTGACAGCATGTGTGTACATCTGAGGAAGTGTGTTTGAGTGAGAGGGATATGTAAGCGTGAGAGTGTGAGTGTGTGGAAGACAGTTGTGTAGCGCACGACTGTGTGTAGGTGAGGTGGTCATCCCTCCCTTGGAGGAAACCAGTTGGGGCGCCTGAATGGCGAAGACAGAAAAGTGAGGCTGCAAAAGCCTTCAGGCCCACCAAACAGCTGCACTCGAAAGACAGCCAGCAAGGAGTGCTGGCGAGGACGTGGGGAAGCTGGAACCTTCACCCGCTGCGGTGGAAAGTAAACAACAGTGCATCCACTTTGAAAGACAGTCTGGCAGCCCCTCCACAACACTGAGTTATCACGTGACACAGCAATTCACTCCTAGGGATCTATGCAAGAGAAATGAAAACATGCGTCCACACAAAAAGTTCCGCACAACTGTTCACGGCAACCCTATTCATAGCCAAAGAGTGGAGACAATGTCGTATAGCCACACAATGGGATATTATTCAGCAGCAAAAAAGAATGAAATACCGACACATGCTACAACATGGATGACTCTTGAAATCATTATGCTGAGTGAAAGAAGCTGTCACAAAGAAGCACATATTGTATGACTCCATTTACATGAAATGTCCAGAGCAGACAAATCCTCCAGAGAGACAGAAAGTAGACTAGTTGTTGCCAGGATCTGGGGCTGTTGGGCGGAAAATGGGGAGTGACCGCTGATGGGTACAGGCTTTCTTCTTGGAGGACGGTGGTGGAAATGTTCTAAAGTTAGACTGGGGTGAGTGTTGCACAATTCTCTGAATATACTAAAAACCATTGAATTGCACACCTAAAACAGATGAATTTCATGGGATGTAAATAAGGCTCTGTGTGTGTGCGTGTGTGTGTTTGTTTAAAAATTTTTTCCAGGATAGGTGTTAACAGCTCAGTGTTTCCAACATCCTCCCACTCTGACCTTGATCAAGATCTTTTCCTTCCCCAAGCCTCCGAATTCTCATCAAAAAGGAGAGGAGAGCAGAGGGGAGGAGAGGAGACGGGAGAAGAGAAAAGAAAAAAGAAAAGAAAAAGACAAGAGGGGCTGGTCCACTTAGCTCAGCTGGTAAAAGCACAACCTTGTAACACCAGGGCCAAGAGTTCAGGACCCCAGACAGGTCAGCCTCCAAAGAAAAGAAAAAGACCTCCTGCCTTCTAATAGTTCTTTTTTTTTTTTTTAAAAAAGATGACCAGTAAGGGGATCTCAACCCTTGGCTTGGTGTTGTCAGCACCACGCTCAGCCAGTCAGCGAACCGGCCATCCCTATATGGAATCCGAACCCGGGGCCTTGGTGTTATCAGCACCGCACTCTCCCGAGTGAGCCACGGGCCGGCCTCTTCTAATAGTTCTGAATTCAGGACCTACTCATCATGAACTAAGCTCTCACATACACAAACTCAAAATTTCTCTTCCCTTTTTACAGAAAAGACCATTGAGACCCACATAGGGAACCTACTCTCCAAAGGTCACAAAGCCACTAGGGGCAGAAGCTGGACTTGGACCCAGCTCTGACCTGATTCCAACAGATTTGCTCTTAACTTGCCACTCAGCATTCCTAAAGTGCACCTGGGCAGGTGATCACTAAGGAAATTCTGGGCTCCCCCTAACGGAGGAACCCCAAGCTTACAAACAAGAAGGGCCGGCTACAAAATTTGTGAGTATCCAGTGCAAAATGTAAATGTGGGGCATCTCGTCAAAAAAAAAACCAAAAAAAACTGATACGCTTTTTCCTCTCTCTCTCTGTCGATACCACCACCACCACCAGAACCCATCCAGGGAAGTGGGACTTCGCATGAGCCAAAGCTCCAAGCTCCAAGCTCCCCCCGCTCACGTTCCACTGTCCCATCAGCCTTCGCTTACAGAACACAAAATCAAAAATTGTGAAAAATGTCAAAACAGCTACCACAGAGCATTAAACCTGTGCAACTGCACCCAGCCCATGTCGTGCTTGCAGGAAAGAGTTCATCTAAGATCTAGAAAGGAGACAGGACTTGCAAGACCTCTGTAAACTTGTATCTCTGGCAATAGTTCATTTGCTGTTTGATGAATCGCCACCCCATCTCATTAAAATGGAGATTCTGATTTGGTGGGTCTGGGGCAGGCCTGAGACAGGCATTCTGCTTGTCTAACCAGCTCCCAGGTGAGACCAATGCTGCTGGTCCATGGGTCACATTTTGAGGTGCAAGAAATGAGAGAACATGATTTTAGGGTATTGATCCAGCATTCTGGCTAAATTCTTTTATTATTCTTCAGGCTTTTCTATGTCAACAGTCATATCACCTATAGAAAATGACAGATGTGTGTCTTCCTGTATATCCTTTGTCTGATTAAGGAAGTCCTCTCTGCTCCTACTTTGCTCCGTGTATGTGTGTGTAAACCATGAATGGGTGTTGAGTTTTGTCAAGTGTTTCTTTTCTGCATCAGTTGAGCTTGCTAGGCCTATGCAGCTACCACTCTGGGCTTGTTGCAAGCTGGCGGGCAAAGGATCGAGCTCAGCTATCCCATGGGAGGTGTCCAGGGTCAGGGCCTGCAGTGGGTGGGGGCTGGCCACCCATCCTGGCCGTGGGCCCTGGGGCCAGATGTTTGGGCTTAGCTGCCTGGCCAAGCAGGGATAGAGTGACTGGGTAATTAAGCACTCGCTTCTTCAGGGCTGGCAGAAGGTGGCAGGGGGTGGAGGGACTTTGGGCCAAAGTGCCCAACAGCCACCCTTCACCTCTGGTTTGCAGAGAGGGGCAAGTAGCATGAACCCCAAGCTGGGCGCTCTGGTACTTTGTGCGTCGAGGCAGGGGGAGGGATGACCCAGACCCAGGGTTCACCTGCTCTCACTTGGAAATGGAAAAGGTGACTTTTCCTTCCAAGTTGGGTTGCCATACTGTGACCCCTTAACTATCCAGGATAGGAAGTGGCAGGCAGGCAGAAGCTCTCCCTCAGCCCTCCCCAGGGTACCAGTCAGCAGTTATTTAAGTCTCGGGGCTTAATGAGATCTGGGGAACAGAGAATTCTCTGCGTGCTCCTTCGCCTATTGGCAGAAGCAGACTATCCATCTATCAGGACCCCCAGACATTATCCCTCCCCCACCCCCAAGCAAGTAACTGGACCCTGCTGGCCTTTGCAGGACTGCGGGGGCGCCAGCCTCCATCACCTTCCACGACCTCTGAGCCAAGCTCTGGTCTGGGGAGTGGAGGAGGGGAAGGGAATGGTTTCCTGCCTGAGGTTGCAGGAGCCAGAAATGGAGTGGGGGGACATCTTCCAAGCCAGTCCCCAATTTACAGCCTGGCAAGCTATGGCACAGAGACAGGAAGGGGAGGCCCACAGCAAGCTATGGCCCAAGGTCACTCAGAGAGGGGCAGTCATGGAAGCCCTAATTCGGAACCCCAAGGCATGGTTAAAGCAGAGGAATTTGCATTACATTATTCTGGGTTTGAGTCTTGGCTTTGCTGTGTGTGCTTTAGCAAGGGGCCTGCCCTCTCTGAGCCTCAGAGTCCTTTCTGAAATGAGAATCAAGGTTCCTCCCTTGAAGGGCTGTGGTGAGGACTGGATACAGCACATTAAGAGTACCCACAGTGCCAGGCACAGAGTACAGTTAGGCGTGGTCATGATCACCCTTGCTAATTGAGCACATACGACGTACAAACACTATTCATTTAATCCTCACAACAGCCCTATGAGGCAGGTGCTATTAGTATCTCCAATTTACAGGTGAAAAAATGGAGGCACAGAGAAGAGAGGAAAACTGCCAGAGTTCCACAGCCAGGACATGACTGAGCCAGGACTTGAACCCAAGTTGGTCTGACAGGCACTGTCTTAAGAGCAAAGGCCCTGGCACCAACCAAAGCTTCACCATACGTTTCCTGAATGATCTGGAGCACATGACCAAACTTCTCTCTGCCTCAATGCCCAGATCTTCAGAACAGGTACTTCAAAAAGTTTGTGGAGGGCCGGCCCGGTGGTGCACTGCGCTAGTGCGCCGCTTGGGAAGCGCGGCAGCGCTCCCGCTTTGGAGCACATGACCAAACTTCTCTCTGCCTCAATGCCCAGATCTTCAGAACAGGTACTTCAAAAAGTTTGTGGAAAATTTGAATTAAAAGATACAAAATTAGGGGCCGGCCCGTGGCTCACTCGGGAGAGTGCGGTGCTGATAACACCAAGGCCCC